GGTGGGACTCGTCGACTTTATCTCAACTGACTAGACTATTAAAAACTTTATTTTTGAAAACTGGACCAGTTTGATTAATTTGGAACATTTTCATTTGAAACAAAATTTGGGACTTTGTCAAATTCACGTATGGTTTACATCTCTGTTTAACTTGTGTAGGGTAATGATGTTAACCCGTGGTTGTTGTAATGAATTATACTGTATATTTTACAACTTATTCAATTTCAAACATAAAATTAAACTTAGACACTTGAAATATAATCTCTCTAACGACCGACTTCGTAGACGATACATTCGCAACTAACTCCCTCTCTCTTCCTTTTTCTACGACGGTCGCTAGTTTCTCCACGAGCGTAAACTACGCAATGCAATGGTTGGTCGCTCACAACGACAGCGGTTTTATTTCGAACTCAAAATCACACATACCGGCCGCCTTGGAGTATAACTTCAATAAACAATAAACTGAATGATATGATCACTTAAAGGTATAACCACGACTTATAATTATTATAATTAATCGATCGGCAAGATACAAATCTTCGGTAAAGAGCGCTGGATAATTCCGGTGGTAGTTTTCAGTGACATTACTCGTATTAAACCGTCATTTCCAGCATGGAGTTCACAAATTCTACCCAGCCGCCACCTAAACGGAGGTGAAGTCTCGTCGCGAATTATTGCTAGTTTCCCTAGTTGCAATTCGTCGTTACGCACGGCAAACTTCCATTTGGAACGCTGTTGTAATTGTGTGACATATTCCCTTGACCAACGCTTCCAGAATGATTGCTGGATATGAGTTAATAGTTGATAGCGATTAATACGGTTTTGCGGAACGTCAAGAACAGATTGCTCCGGCAACGCCATAAAAGACGTTCCGATCAAAAAATGTCCGGGCGTTAATGCATCCAGTTCCTCGGGAGCATTGGTCAAAGGACACAACGGTCTCGAATTGAGTATGGCTTCTATTTGAGTCAACACGGTATAGAGCTCTTCGAATGACAATGGTGTATCGTTGATTACAGCCTTAAGATGTGTTTTTACAGCCTTTACATTGGCTTCCCACAATCAACCCATATGCGGAAAGTGAGGCGGAATGAATTTCCATGAAATTCCTAAGTTAGACGCATAATTAATGATAGTCTCTCGGTGATCGGGATGTGACAAAAATTGATCTAATTGTCGCAGTATATTACTGGCTTCGATGAAATTTCTCCCATTATCAGACATGATAGATTCGCATTTTCCACGTCGAGAAATGAATCTCTTGAGAGCGTTTAGAAACATTTCGGTCGAAAGATCAGATACTAATTCAAGATGAATCGCCTTGGTAGTCATGCATACGAACAGACAGAGATAGGCCTTACCAGACTTATTTCGAGAGATCTTAATACTAAATGATCCCGCATAGTCTACACCCGTGTGGCCGAAGGCTCTAGACTTAGGGGTAACTTTTGACTCGGGTAAATCACCCATGCGCTGCATTAAACTACGAGGTCGCATTCGAAAACACAAGACGCACGTTCTAAGTACTCGCTTAATGGCGTTTTTTGCATGAATTATCCAATACGTTTCACAAAGCGTTGTTAATAACAATTGCGGACCCATGTGGAAATGACGCAAGTGCTGATCCCGTATAATCAAGTCAGTCAAGGAATGATTGGAAGACAAAAGGACTGGATGTTTTTGAGAGTAGGAGAGTGGTGCATTCCTTCACCGTCCGCCGACGCGGAGTACTCCATCTTGGTCAATCATAGGATTGAGTGAACTGATTTTGCTGCGTAAGACAGGTGACTGGTTTCGTTGTAAGTTGCGTAGTTCGTTTGAAAACTCCCTTTGTTGATGTATTTTTATAAGTGTAATCATTGCCCTCTGTATCTCTTCGGCCGTAAGTGGTCCGCGAAGTTTTGGTGTTTTTGATATTGACAAGGTGCAATTAATTTTAAATCTCATGCATGTTGCGATGATTCTTTTCAATCGTGTTAGTGAAGAATATCGGCTAGTGAAATCAATTGACTCCTCTGTGTTGATTGCCGTGAAGGATTGACTGCGTGATTCAGGTACTTCAGTCAGTAACTGAGCTGTCGACACCGGTCATAGGTCTGAATTGGACCTTAGCCAGTGTGGTCCGTCCCACCACCATGTAGCGTTGATCAATTGATTTGATAGAACTCCTCGTGAGATTAAATCAGCGGGGTTTTGCTCTAAACGAACGTGTGACCAATGTTGTTTGTTCGTTAGTCATTGAATCTCAGCGACACGATTGCCAACAAAGATTTGCCACTGAGAAGGCTCGCCCTTAATCCATGCCAACACGATCTCTGAGTCTGTCCAGAATTGATGTTTTGTGATTGTACATGTAAGAGATTGTGATATCTTCTGGACTAGATTTACGAGGAGAACGGCGCCGCATAATTCCAGCCTGGGTACACTGATCGTCTTTAATGGCGCCACTCTTGACTTCGCTGCGAGTAGTTGCACCTTAATTGTTACAGACTCATCTATTGACCGAATAAAGACACACGCACCGTAAGCAGACTGGGATGCATCACAAAAACCGTGTAGTTGTATGTCAGTCGGATTATGTACGATGGCATGTCGTGGTATTTCGATTTGATTGATCAGTGGTAATTGTTGATAGTACGAGGACCAGATGACTCTAATTGATTCAGGTACTGGCGCATCCCACTCTTTTTTGAGTTGCCAAAGTGATTGTAACAAGATTTTTGCCTTGATGATAACAGGCCCGATTAATCCCAATGGATCGAAGATTTGCGTAACTATGGACAATATGTTGCATTTAGTAACAACATCGAGCGCCGAGTCACCAGTAGCCTCATATCGCAGTGTATCCGTCGCTGAATGCCACAGGAGTCCTAGAATTTTCGTATCTGTGAGTCCATAACTCCCAGCATGTTCATAGTGGCTAAGCGGTGCGTTAGAGCGTAGTGTAGCTAATTCAAATCCTGCTGTTTTCAAAATATCGCTGATCTGAGTTGTAATCTCGTGTAATTGTTGCACTGACGCTTCACCGATGATTAAATCATCAACGTAAAAATCCCGAGCTATAATTGCAGCTGCGCGAGGATGTGTTTTCTCAAAGTCCAAGGATAACTGTTTTAAACATCTTATGGCTAAAAATGGCGCAAAGGCAGTTCCGTATGTAACGGTGTTTAGAGTAAATGTTGTAACAGCCTTGTTAGGATTGTCTCTCCATAATATACATTGGTGTAATCGATGTTCTGGCTTAACCATTACTTGTCTGTACATTTTAATAATATCACCCGTCACGACGTACGGGTGTTGTCGAAAGCGTATGAGGAGTTCAAATAAGTCCGGCTGAATTGTAGGTCCCACTAGTAGACAATCATTAAGTGATTTTTCTGATGTCGTTTGGCTGGATGCGTCAAAAACTACTCGAAGTTTAGTCGAAGTCGAATCTTTCTTGAAGACTGCGTGATGAGGGAGGTAATTAATCCCCTCTTTGTCATCGTCGGTCAATACAGACATATGGCCGAGACTTTGGTATTCCTCCATGAATTCGATGTATCCCATTTGCAACTCAGGCTCTCTTCGGAATTTGCGTTCCAAACTGTTCAAGCGTTTGAGTGCAATAGCTTTAGATTCCCCGAGAATGTTCGGATCCGCCCGTAATGGCAGTGATACTTCAAATCGTCCTTTGTCGATTCGGCGATACTCTTTTCGAAATATCTCTTCGCAATGACGTTCTTGAGATGAAAATACCTTTGTAATTGGGATGTTTTCTAAACACCAGAATTTCTCAATTTGTTCTTGCAGTTCTTCGTTTCGTACATGTCCACATATAATCACGTTGCTATGCAGTTGTGATTTGCTTGACGTCCCGATTTGTCCACAAAGCAGCCATCCCAGCTTCGTTGACTGTAGCATCGGTTGTTTGTCTCCCAACTGTATTCTCTCTGTCTCAAGGATTTCCCAAAAAATCGTTGCTCCCAAAAGTACGTCCACCTCCTGTGGCACATGGAACGTCGGGTCGGCCAATTCAATGTGGCTGGGCAGGTTTAAAGAATTTAGTTTGATCAGTCTAGTGGGAATGGGTCGAGTGACTTGATTAACGATGAACAATCGTACATCTGTTTCGTAGTTTGTAGTGGTTGATGCTATTATTGTTTGTGTCGTCTCTGCGACTAGCGCCTCAGTTACATTTAAACAAGAAAATAAGTGTTTCGTACTTTCTGTCTTAAGTCCTAATCTTTGACACATTGATTTTGTGATGAAACTCGACTGTGATCCATTGTCAAGTAAAGCGCGGACCCGTTGGTATTTGCCTGTGTTGTCACGTATGTAGATAATCGCTGTTGATAACAGAACTTCGGAATTAACTTTGTCGAACTCGGTTGTTTGCAACGAGACGGCGC